ATAGGAAGGCGACTGCTGTCCTTATAGGAAGGCGACTGCTGTCCTTATAGGAAGGTGACTGCTGTCCTTATAGGACGACGGCAGCCTGAAGGCAGCGACACGGGGAGAGCACCTGTGATGACACAGGCCGAGGCTGGAGTGACGCAGCTGCAAACCAAGGGCCACCAAAGATTGGTGGCAAATGACCAGGAACCAGTAGAGAGGCCGGGAGCATCCAGGCCTCAGAGGGAACCAACCCTGCCGACACCTTGATTTTGAACTTCAAGCTTCAGCTGTGAGACAACATATTGCTGTAGTTTAAACTATCAGGTTTGTGGTACTTTGTTAGGGCCGCCCTAGCCAACTAATACAGACCATCATGACAGTCATCACCCACTGAATTATTACTCTGGGGCCCGTACCGTGCTAAGTGGCTTACTCGAATTATGTCACCCGTTCCTTGTGACATAGCCCTACAAGAAGGGAGCTATTATTATCCCCACGTCATAGTTGAGGAAAGGGGGGCCTGGAGAGGCCTGAGGGTGCATAGCCAGGGCTCAACCCCGGATGTCTAAGACCGAAGCCCGGCTCCCAGTCACCTGGCCACGTGGCACACACCAGCACCGAGCAAGACACCGAGACAGCAGTACCAGGCCGAGGTATCAACAAGTGCCACAGGGAAGGCTTTGAAGTCTTAGGAGGTTTTAACTCTTAAAAGAGGACTAAAGGGAGAAGGCAATATATTTATTAAAAATATTTTTTAAAAGGCTGAATCATTTTAGGTAGAAACTTAGACAACAAAGAGAAATATTTTGGGACAATAACCTACTTCATCCAAGTGTCAGGCGTACTCAGCACTCAAAGGGAAAAAAGTTTGAACTGGCAAAGTCATCGCATGAGTCAGGGTAGGCTAGGTTATGGCGCAGGAGCAAATGAGCCCTGAAATCCAGTCTCTGGAACTCTCCATTTCATTCATTTACTAGATAACGTAAGTGGAGTGGCAGATCTAGAAGAGCATCTGAAAGGAAGGGCAATGAGACCCTCTGTGGTCACCCCAAATTAATCTGGGGAGATTTAGATTCATAACTTTTTATCATAATGTTGCTAAGAGAAAAAAAAACATGTCAGTGGCTAGACTATGGTTATCTACCACAGATTGGATGTGTTAGGGGTACATACGATACCCACTTAATACTTTTGTTTCATTTACTTCCAAAATATTCAAAAATCTTTTCTCCCCTGTAGGTAAACATTATATCTTGAGAAAGTCTTTATCGTACACGTAGTGGATTGGTTACTTAGTGTGTGTTGAATGACTAAACAAATGAATGTTAGGAATTCATAGTATGAAATAAGATACAGGTAGAATAATCACAGAAGAAACAGGACAAAAGAACATTCCCTGGGATGCTTTTGTCATCTGAAATTTGAGTTTTTACGGGCCAGTAAAATTGAAAGAAAACAAATGAACAAGTTGGTCAGTAACGACATTAAAAACAACTGTGACGCACTTATCACCTGCTAGCATTATCAATCAAGTGAATCAAAACATTCATCTGGACCTGGAATTAGGATAAGAGGAGTTTTAAAATTGACTACATTTAACTTTTTGAAAATCTCGCTACATTGTCCTATTCTCATTTTGTCAAAGCAAAATGCACTAATCAGCACTGAGCGAAACAACCAGAACTCGACAAACAGAACCCCAGGGTAGGAGGGACTGAGGAGAGTTGCTGCCCAGTTTTGGGGGTGGTTGCTTTCAGGGACAGTGCCCCTCCTGGTTCCTGGCTGTCTCCCGACCCCCCCACGACCCTCAAGCCTCTCCTGCTGAGCCGGACGGTGGCATTAGCTCTCTCACGGGGCAGCACCCGGCCCTGGCTCTTCCCAAGAGAACATTTCTCACAGGGATTAGCTTGAAGCTGTGGATGGAAAAATCCAAACTCTGAAATATTTGAAAGAAGTTTATTCTGAGCCAAATTTGGGGACCATGGCCCAGAGCCACTCCTAAGAAGCCTTGAACAAGTGGACTCACTGTGGCTGGGTTACAGTTTGATTTTATACGTTTCAGAGAGACAGGGGTTACAGGTAAAGTTATCAATCAATACGTGGTAGGCATACAATGGTTTGGTCCAAAAAGGTGGGACATCTTGAAGCAGGGGGTGGGGCTTACAGGTTATAGGTGGGTTTTTGGCTGACAATTGGCTGAGAGAGTTAGGCTTTATCTAAAAGACCAGAAAGGAAATGCTTAATTTAAGATAAAGGTGTGAGCATTTTGGGAGGTCCAGATAGGAGAATCTTTCAAGTTATGATAAGGATCTGCTAGGATGCTTGAGTTAAGATGAGGGCTTTCTATCTTTTAGGTGATGTTAACTTTTACCATTTGTAAGTGTCACTCATCTGGCCCCCTTAGGAAGGAATTTTGAGCAAAAGTAAAAGATCAGAGTTCAGTCCTCAGTTCCCCCTGTTGGCCAAAGATCATTCCATGGAATGCATGTGTAGGCCAATTACCAGCATGAGGTCCCAGGATGCTAGGAAGGCTCATTCCTAGAGTTGTCTATCTGGTCACCCAGTGTTGTGAAATAGGTGGTGTTATATCTTAGGAGAGGGACATGACTCCACTTGATTTAATAGCCAATTGTTAAAGGGGCCAGATAGAGTCAGGCCTAGGATTTAGTCTGAAAAAACATCTTGGACCAGATCTATTCTGCGAGCTATCATGATCCAGGCCTTTGATTGGGTTTTTCTCCTTTTCCTGTATCTGATATAGCATTTACAGGAAACATATAATGATAATACAGTAATGAGTGTCATAAAAGTACTAAACAGTAGGTGCCTAAGAGAGTTATAGGTAGACTCAAAAGGTAGTAAGCAGCCTAACCAGCTGAAAAGTCCTCTGCACGTATCATCATATTCTTTAATCAGACCTACAATATCTTTACCCTCCTTATCAGCAGTCAATTGAACCTTATGGTAAATTTTATTTGAGGATTGCAAAACTGATACCAATTCAGAATCTAATAAATTTAATTTTTCTTCTGGCCAATTTGTCTCCATAGGTATAACATCCTGAGAAGGATATAAATTGAATTCAAGAAACATCTAGTCTTCAATATTTAAATTATCATAGGACTTGTTTACAGTTAGCAAATCTAACTTCCCCACCACCTTTGTGTTACACCATAGACTAGTGCTTGGGAGGGAAAAGGAGGTTTTGTTACAGGAGAAATCATATAATTGTATAATGTCATTTTATTGTCCCTCACAACAAAAGCGGCCCTTTCCCATATACCTGATGTTATATTCTATAGGGGTGGATGCTAGGGGCCAAATCTGGGAGAAATCAGGGTTCCAAGTGTTTTGAGTGCATAGCCATTCTCCTTTTCTATTCTCACAATCTGAGAGGGAAATAGGATGCCATGTATTTTCTTTTTTTTTTTTTTTTTTTTTTTTTTGAGACAGAGTCTCACTTGTTACCCAGGCTAGAGTGAGTGCCGTGGCGTCAGCCTAGCTCACAGCAACCTCAAACTCCTGGGCTCAAGCGATCCTCCTGCCTCAGCCTCCCGAAGAGCTGGGACTACAGGCATGGGCCACCATGCCCGGCTAATTTTTTCCATATATATGTTAGTTGGCCAATTAATTTCTTTCTATTTATAGTAGAGACGAGGTCTCACTCTTGCTCAGGCTGGTTTCGAACTCCTGACCTTGAGCAATCCGCCCGTCTCGGCCTCCCAGAGAGCTAGGATTACAGGCGTGAGCCACCACGCCCGGCCTTATTTTCATCAGCTAAAACAGCCCATCGGCTTCCCACGGAGAGTATTCTTGTATTATTGACAATGGTTCCAATGTCGGCTAATGGAACTGCAGAATACTGCTGTGCCTCACTCAACTTGAGTGCCTCAACTTTTGTAACAACATAGACCTGAGTCCTTGCTGGGTTAGAGTACACGCCCGCTCCCACCTTTGGGTTGGGTGTATGTCTTTATGGTTTGTGTGGTCTCTTCTGTCCACTCGATGAGAGCTGCATTATATTTTAAGGCAGCTTCCCATCCCTTCCCTTCTTCTTGGAACAGCATTCCTTCTATGTGGCCTATGTTTGAGAGAGAATCCTTCTCCAGGGAATCTCTCCTCATTAGCTGCGAATTCAGCTTGCCCCAATATACCTAACCCAGCTCCAATTTTTCCCGTGAGATCGCGTTTTAGTCTTTTGGATGGCCAATTTTGGTGTATCCACCAGGAATGCTGTTGCCATTGTATACTAATGGCCTCAGTGCAATTCGGATAAATAGAGTCAACCCAGAACCGCTGGGTATCCCAGACAATTGTCAGATGGGTGGAGGTTACTCCTAAGTATGCCTTTGTCTGAGTGTGCCATAAGGCTTCCCAGAGGCGCCCTTGTCTTAGGGTGGAATTTGTACTGTCAGGGACTTCTGTCCACCAACTGACTCTTACAGTTCTTTATAGGCAGTGTCGGTGTGGTTGGTGCTGGACAAGGGCATCCAGCCACAAGCACAGGGCTGGGTGTTGATCTGGCAGCTTATGCTATGGTGGTTTACACAGGAAGCTGCTAGGTTTCTCCCATCATACCCAGGCAGTTGTCTGAGTTTGTCATCACCAATGTCTATTGTGACGCAGTATTCTACCTGATTAGATCCCCTCAATAATCGTCCTGAGGCATTATTTGGTAAATATTCCTGCAGGGCATTATACTTGGTTAAGGCTTTATAATAGAGGTACCCTGCAAAGGGGGCCCCTCTAGGGAGATTTACAGTGGAACTGTTCCACTCAGTGGCCTTCATTTCATCCAAATCTATGTCACACCAAACGATGTGAATCCTACCAGCAGGGAAGATAGTGAAGTTTGCAGGGAGCCAGGAGAAATTTTTGGGTTTGAAGAGAGAAGAAGTGTGGGGTAAGCAGATAGAGGAAATTATGGGAAGGAGGGTGATCAAGTGAAATATTTTTCTAATTTTAATAAAGAAATTCATTTAGAAAACCATTTAGAAACTTATACCAAGGGAGATTCCACAGATCCCACACAACCTCTTGGGGGACTTGGTTAAGGCATTCAGGATTTGCAGCAATATATTCTATAGCAAGTAAAGTAAGAATGAAAGTTATTTTAGGGTTCATGAGGACTGTCCTGGTCCGATGTCTCAGGAAGACTGTCCGCTTTGGTTGTTACTTTGGATGTTGCTTTGGAGGCCAGTTTGGCCAGATGTTTTCTGAAGTCGTAGGCGGGTGTCAGAGATTAATTTGGAAGTCCAGGTGTGGTCGGGAGCGTGGTCAGGCACTCGTTTTAGATGTGAGACATGAATCCAAGAGGCGACCCCCTTTAATTTTGCAGCACAAGAGTTAGTTAAGAGTACCTGGTAAGGTCCTTTCCAGCGAGGTTGTAAGGAGTCTTTTAGTTGGTGCCTTTTCCAATAAACAAAGTCACCTGGCTGTAATCCATGATCCCTGGAGTCTTCAGCCCCCAGGAGCTCGCTGTGGAAAGGCTGTTACCAGCTTTGTATTATTTGTCAGAGTTTTAAGTAGTCCCTGACAATAATAAGTAGTCCCTGACAATAATGTAGTATTTCTCCTTTAAGTAAGGCTGGCTCATATAAGCCCTCGTCCAGCCTCATAGGTCTCCCTGTTATTATTTCATAAGGTGATAGACAGTGCTTCCCAAAGGGAGAGGATCTAAGGTTAAGCAAAACCAGTGGGAGGGCTTTTGGCCAGGGGAGGTTAAAGGCCTCAGTTAATTTAGCTAATTGAGTTTTTATTGTGCCATTTGTTTGTTCTACCAACCCAGACGACTGAGGATGATAGGCACAATGGAAATGTTGTATTATGGGCCAAATTTTGCAGATGGATTGGATAATTTGTCCAGTAAAGTGAGTTCCACGATCACTGTGTAACTCAGAAGGGATTCCCCAAACTGGAATGATTCTTTCCAGCAGTATTTTGCCTACTGTTAAGGCAGTAGCCCTCCGACAAGGAAATGCTTCTACCCAGTGGGAGAACATGCAAACCAGGACCAATACATATTTGTACTGCTGGGATGGCAGCATCTGGGTAAAGTCCAGTTGCCAAATTCCAAATGGTCCTGTAGGCAAGGGAAAATGGCCTTGAAACGGTTTATGTTTTGGACATATAGTACAACGAAAATATACCTTTTGGGCTATTGTGGGGGATGGTTTCCAGAAATATTGTTTTCCCCATAATATCATTTTCTCAGGGGCCCAGTGAGTCATTTCATGAATGAATTGAAGGAGAGGAAATTGTGCACCTAAAGGAACTATAGGTTTTTTGTTGGGACCCAGCCACAACTCCCTATTTGGGTCAAATACACCTCCCTTTTGCTGCCAGATTTGTTTCTCTTCAGGGGTTGATGCCTGTTGGTACTGTAAAAGAATGTTAGTGAGGGTATTGGTGGGTCACAAGGTGCATTCTCATGTAGGGTAGGTTATCTTTCCCAAGGCAGCGTTCTTTGCTACATCATCGGCTACATTGTTTCCCTTAGCTTCTTCAGTGTTACCTTTGCAATGTCCAGGAACTTTTATGATTGTCAGTTGTTTTGGCATTTGAATTGCTTCTAATAGCTCTGAGACTTGGTGCCCATTTCTTATAGGTTGTCCAGATGAGGTAAGAAATCCTCTCTGTTTCCATAGCATGCCAAAATCATGGGCTGCTTCAAAGGCATAGCGGCTATCAGTGTATATATTAGCTACCTTCCCTTCAGCCAAAATACAAGCTCTAGTTAATTCTATTAATTCAGCCTTCTGAGCTGATTTTACTCCTTGGAGTTGTCCACTTTCTATTATGTCTACTACAGAAGAGACAGCATATCCTGCCTGATAATGCCCCTGATCATCCTTCAAATAAGAACCGTCTGCAAACCAAATTAACTCAGCATTCTCGATAGGAGTTTCCTGCAAATCTGCTCTAGGAGAGAGTAAGATATCAGTTAGTAGACTGCAGTCATGTTTTTCCTCTTGCTCACCTGGAAGAGGGAGAAGAGTTGCAGGGTTAAGAATATTGCAGCGCTTCAAAGTGATGTTAGGGGCAGAAAGCAAAAGCACTTCATAGGAGGCAAGGCGACTTACAGAATAGTGTTGAGTGTGGTGAGAGTTTAGGAGAGATTCTACAGAATTGGAACCATAAATTGTTAGTGGGGACCACAGGACAAATTCCTCAATTTTTTTACATAAAATGGCTGCAGCTGATATGGCTCTCATACAAGGGGGGTGTCCTTTTGCTACTGGGTCTAACGGTTAGCTGAAATAACCAATTGGTCTGTGATTGCCACCATGTTTCTGAGTTAATACTCCAAGCACATTTCCATTTATTTCATGTACAAAAAGGAAAAAAGGAAGGCTATAGTTTGGGTGTCCTAAAGCAGGTGCCTGGGTAAGAGCCTGTTTTAAATCCTTTATATATTGCTTTTCACTTTCCCCCCAGCAAATTGGGTCTGGTTGGTGATGCTTTAGTTTTTTGTATAAGGGCTGGGCCATTAATGAGTAGTTTGGAATCCAACTTCTGCAGTAGCCTGTTAGCCCTAAGAACCCTCTTAATTGTTTTTTTGTTTTGGGCAAAGGAAAGGCCATGATGGCAGAGATTCTCTCTGGGTTTATAAGAAGTCCCTTTGGGGAAATCGTGTGCCCTAAGTATTTAACTTGGGGGAGACAAAATTGTAATTTATCTCTGGACACTTTGTGTCCCTTCTGAGCAAGTCGCTGTGGCAGGTAGATAGTGTCTCCTCTGCATTCACTCAGGGAGGGTGAACACAACAGCAAATCATCCACATACTGAATTAGAGTAGATTTATTTTGGAATACAATATCATCTAAATCTGCCTTTAATATTTGAGAAAAATATGTAGGACTTTCAGAGTAACCCTGGGGCAAGACTGTCCATGTATACTGGCGATTTTCCCAAGTGAAGGCAAAAAGATATTGACTATTCTGATCTACAGGTATGCTAAAGAAAGCACTGCATAAGTCAATGACAGAGAAGTGGCTGGCAGTGATAGGAATATTGGACAGTAAGGTGTGGGGGTTAGGGACGACAGGATGCCTCGGAACCACTGTTTTATTTATGGCTCTTAGGTCCTGAACAAACCGCCAGCCTTTCCCATTTGGTTTTCTGACTGGGAGGATTGGTGTGTTACAAGGGCTGGTGCAGGGTATTATGAGTCCTTTATCTAAGTAGTCCTGAATGATTGGCTTGATTCCTAGTAAGGCTTCAGGCCTAAGGGGGTATTGTTTAATGTTTGGCAGGGGTTTAGACTCATCTATGGTGATCTCTATGGGAACTGCTGACTTAATTCGTCCAATATCCGTGGAAGAGTTTGCCCATAGAGAATCTGGTATTTTGGATAAGAAAGGCTCTAAGTCCCCCTGTTCAAAATCTCCATTAACCTTAGCAAGCATGATACTGCATGTAGGGTTTTGTAAGTCTTCTGTGTCTCCCAAATTGAGAATCATCTCTCCCTTCTGTGAAAATGAGATGTGGGCATTATGGGTCTCTAAGAAATCCCGTCCCAGCAGGTGTATAGGAGCACTATCTACTAAAAGGAAAACATGCTGCCCTGTAAGTTCCCCTAATGGAAATTGGAGGGGATCAGGTTTAAGAGCAATAATTGGCGAGTTTGAGATCCCTGCCATTTGAATTTTTACTCCCAGGGAGAGGGTTTTTAATTAAGGCAGGGTTGAGGACTGAGAGTGTGGCACCTGTGTCCACAAGGGCTCTGGTGTCTTCCTCATTTATGGATATTTCTATTTCCCCTAGAGTGTTTGTTAGAAGTAAGGGGAAAACCCTCTCTATTCCCTCGGAGCCTCCCTATTCTGGTTTTAAAGTTCCTTTGGTGCCTCCCTCTAAGGCCTTCTGCTCCTTTTGTGCAAGCACCCATTTAAGTTTCTTACAATCTTTTTTAAGGTGTCCCTTCTTTTTGCAGTAATAACAAGTCACTTCCTCTGTGGCCTGTTGCAGCGATCTAGGCAGGGGATGGAACCCCTGTGACCTTCCAATTTGGTTACTAAGTTGCTTTAGCTCTAAACACATAATCTTAGAGGCTGTTCCCTTTTGCTTCTTAACTATTGTTTGTGACAACTAGTCAGCTGGGGTGACTAGGTTGCTAGTGGGCAGAGAAGCCCAGGCCACATTATTTCTCTTTACGAAGGTCACTAATTCATCATCTAAGCCTTGCACAAATCCAAAATTTAGTAAAGTCTCATTTTTACCACGCTCAAAATGTTTAGAAGGTATCCCTTAATATTGTTTGAATGTTTTTTCAAACCTGATGTAAAAGTCAGGTATGGTTTCATTTGGACCTATTTTTTACATTGTTGCACCCTTGCCCAATCTATAACTTTGGGGAAAATCTGTTGTAAATTTTCAGAGGCGGCAAAGAGCTCCCTGCATTTTTCTCTCCTATTTGCATCTACTTTGTCAAAATCTTCTAAAGGTTGTTTCCAACCTGCTACCCTAAGCCATTCTTTAGCTTTGTTTTGGGGGACTGGTAGCTCAATTAGCTGATACAGGTCAGAGAACCCTGGATCATGGTCTTAAGTGTTAATTGGAATTCCCTGGCAAACCCAAGGGGGTCTTAGGTTGGGTTAGGAATCTGGACATCAGGGTTTCAACTCTGTTTTGGTCCAGGGTGTGTACACTATATTAGGATGCCCTGTCTTGGTGGGTTTTATTTTAAAGGGAGAAACTACTACTTTATCTTCTTTTCTAGCTTTTTCTGATCCTTTTACAGTTGGAGGTGAGGGAATAGGGGAAGGAGGGGGGGGGAATGAAATCGCCAGGACAAGGAAATTCAAAGAACATAGGGTTAGGGGGAGCGGAAGGAGAGACAGTTTTTGGAGCCTTCCTGATTTCAGAAGTGGCTTCTGTTAGTTTCTTTAATTCCAAGACAGTCTCAAGTATTTTCTTATTAACTTCCTGGAGGGAGGCAAGTTTATCATTCCCTCTTTTGGATGATTCCAAGTGCCAGCAATAGTATGATTCCCATTCATTTTTCTTAATTCGAGAACCTAGTTTCTCTAGTTTAGCGCGCAAGAAAACCAATTTGGGAATATCGAAAGTTCCCCATTTTGGAAACCTCAGACCTAGGTCATCTTTAGTAAGATCTTCCCATTTATACAAATACTTGCAAGTAGAGGCGCCATAATTATCAAACATAAAACCAGCTGGGGTGCCTGAAGGAGGTCGTTCTTCTTGCCTTTCCTCATTCTTAGAAAATTTGTCCCCCCCCCCCTTTTTTTTTCTGAAGGAACCGAACTGTGGTCTAGAGTTTAATGTTGTGGATCAGAGTGTGCTGGTTGTGGGTGGGGCTCCTGAGTGTTTCACCACTGAGTCGGTCCCACCCTCGTACGTGTCCCAGTTTCTCTCTTTGGGGGTCTAGTACCTCTGAGATGGCTCAGAACACCAAGTGATCAGCTCTTACATGCGTTTCCTAGACAAGCCTTCCTTTAATTAATTTGTTGGGGGTTCCCTATGGCCCTACTTGTGCCTGGGGAATCGCCCCAGGCAACTCCCAATCAGGGCCCTGGTCCCCCAGGGCTGCCTTAGGTATGGGAGGAGTCAGCCACCCCTTATCTTTGGAGCTGAGAAACCCAGTCTAGTCTCTCATTTATCTACAAACAAGACAGTTGGGTTCCTTGTGCAAATGCTCAGACAAGACAACTGAGATTAGTTTAGAGAGGAAAAAGGCAATGGAGAAAACCCTTTAGAGTGCACTTCCAGATCAAATTAGGATCCCAAACAACAACATCCTAGGAAGAGAACTGACAGCTCAGAATAAACTGATACCATCAACCAAGAGCGGGAGGTCTGGGTCTCAGGAGGACTTACCAGGTTCCCGCTGGAGCTCAAAGTTGTAGGGCTCGTGCTGGTACCTTAGCTCCAGGTTCAGGCGTCTCCTTCGGGGAGTCCTGAGTCTTCTCTGAGCCCCATGCTGGGTGCCAGAGTTGTGGACAGAAAAATCCAAACTCTGAAATATTTGAAAGAAGTTTATTCTGAGCCAAATTTGGGGACCATGGCCTGGAGCCACTCCCAAGAAGCCTTGAGCAAGTGGACTCACTGTGGCTAGGTTACAGTTTGGTTTTGTACATTTCAGAGAGACAGGGGTTACAAATAAAGTCATCAATCAATATGGGAGGCATACAATGGTTTGGTCCAAAAAGGTGGGACGTCTCAAAGAGGTTATAGGTGGGTTTAAAGATTCTTTGGCTGACAATTGGCTGAGAGAGTTAGGCTTTAGCTAAAAGACCAGAAAGGAAATGCTTAATTTAAGATAAAGTGACAGGAGAATCTTTCAAGTTAAGATAAGGATCTGCTAGGATGCTTGAGTTAAAATGAGGGCTTTCTATCTTTTAGGTGATGTTACCGTTTACCATTTGTGAGTGTCACTCATCTGGCCCCCTTGGGAAGGAATTTTGAGCAAAAGTAAAAGATCAGAGTTCAGTCCTCAAAGCCCAGGCTCCCTGTCTCCCACGCGGAGAGTGCATTTCCTTCCTCTGCTCTCCGCACCCACCTGGAAAGGCTGCTGCCTGCCGTGTCCTGGCCCACCTGGCCCTGGCAGTCTCCCTGCAGCATTCTGGAGCCATGAGGCTGGGGAAAACGTAGCACAGGACCCAAAGCTGGCTTCTGGGGGCCGGGATGTGTGGCTTGGACCTTGGTCCTTCTCTCTCAGTTTGTCCCTGCTGCTGCAGCTGCTTTCAGGCTCCCGTGGAGCCTTGGGAAGGTGGTGCTTCCTGCTGACAGCAAGATCTCAGAGCTCCAGGGAGGGAACTTCCTTGAGCCAGGAGATTTGCCCCTCCGTGCTGGTCATAAGAAAGAGATACAAAGACAAACAATGGAAATTTTTAAGAATTCTCAGTTTTATCTGCACACAGGAAATAACATTTGAAAGGCCTTGGGAGGCAGCAGGCACTTTTTGATTAGTTTGATGACATAGCCATTTGGACTGCCAGGAAGACAAGTAGATGTAATAATTAATACATCTTACTGCTTTACAGGGCAATAAAATAGGGAAACAGGATCCAGGCTGTGGTTTTCTCCTTTTAACGGGACTCTTGTTTGTATATGTGTGTGTGTTTTCCCAAGTTTAAACTTTCAGGGTTACATAACCGTTCCCCTTGGCTTATAATCAAACTTCCAGATTAACTAGAGGTGCCCTGCACAGACTGGGAGTTGGCATGGAGGTGAGCCACGTGACAATGTCCAGCTTCCCGGTTGGGGCTGCTCTCTAAGCAATGGCATTTATTTGCAGGTCAGGGAAGAGAGTTGTTTGCAGATAGATCATGGTACCCATATTAGAGGCTTTCAGGCCAATGCTCTGAGCATCTTCAGTTCGAAAAACTGTAACCATTTAAAGTTAGGAATCCTATCAAACCCTGTTTGTTGTAAAGAACGTTCAGTGCATTTGAGATGTCTATACTGGCAAGAAGCATTCAAAAGAAAGTCAAAATTTCTGGTTATTGGAGTTCTGATTTAAGTGGTGTATTCAATCCTCCATGGATTAGAACAATGTAATTCTTAGAAACAATATCTTGTGGGGCTGGGATCCTAAAGGTTTCTTCTCTTCTCCTGCTTGCCACCTTCTTTTAACTGAATTACCATCTCCTAGATGCTGATTAAAATGAAAATTATGGCTATCTCTGTAGGATTTGCAAATGTAGTGGGGGAGAGATTATGGGTAGGACTGAACATTTCAAACTTCTTTTTGTAGAACATGTATCTGTGTGATGCATAATTTTGTATGTCAACGTCGCTAGGCCACTGTGCCCGGATTATTCTGGATATTTCTAGAAAGGTGATTTTTGAGTAATACTAGCACTTAAATTGGTGGACTTTGAGTAAAGTAGATTACTCTTCATGACATGGGTGGGCCTCATCCAATCAGTTGAAGGCCTTAGGAGAACAAAGACTGACCTCCCAGTGTGAGAAGGAATTCTGACAGCAGACTGCCTTTGCATTCCAGCTGCAACTCTTCTCTGGGTCTCCAGCCTGCCAGCCCACCCTGCAGATCTGGGACTTGCTCTCCACAGTTATGTGAGCCAATTCCTTAAAATCTCTCTCTCTCTCTCTCTATATATATATATATATGTATGTACACACACATATGTATGTATACACACATACACATATGTATGTATGTATGTACACACACACAAACACACACAGTCATTTGTATCTGTGGGGGATTGGTTTTAGGACCCCCATGGCCACCAACCGCTGATGCTCCAGTCCCTGCAGAAAAGGGCATAGTTTTTGCATATATAACCTACACGCATCCTCCTGTATGTTTTAAATCATCTCTAGATTACTTATAATACCTAACAAAACATGAATGCTATGTAAACAGTTGTTACACTTTATTGTCTCGGGAACAATGACAAGGAGAAATGGTCTGAGCATGTTCAGTACAGGTGCTTCCCCACCCGCCACGCCCCTGCCAATATATTCCTTCCCTGTTGGTCGAATCCCCAGGTCAGAGCCCTCGGATGCGAAGGGCCGAGCGTGTCTATGGGCACATCCTGTTGGCGCTGTTTCTCTGGAAAAGCCTCATACAAACACTGTATTGGTGGTTGGTAGAACCTCAAGTCTCCCCTAAAACCCAGATCAACTAGTCTCTTCCTGCTGCCCCTGGTCCTCCAGAGTTTACAGTGAGGATTAATAGTCTGGGCTCTGGGCTCCCTAGGGAAAGGCATATAGAAATGCAAAGCACCAGCCCAGCCAGAATCCTCCCTGCCCGGAAACAACAGGTGGGAAACTGAGGCCCCCCAGGCATGGTTTCCTGCTCCTCTGTTCTCCAGAGCTGGCCAAGGGGGAGCCCAGCCCCCAGTGGCTGGGGGAAGGCAAACATTTCAGTCCTAAGAAAGCACCTCACACCTTTGCCTGGCGCAGAGATGGCCTCCCAGTCGCTGTGGTCCTCCTTTTGAGTGAGCCACTCAGTGTAAATTCAGCAGACACGTATGGCAGTTTGAACCCCAAATCCCCCAACACGCCCCATGCCCTCATCTTTTAGTTCTTAGTCTGGTTTGCTGTTTTAGTGAGAGGTTTGGAGGATAAGCTAGAAAGACGGCTGAGTAGGCAGAGGGTTGTGAAAGTGTGACCTGCAAATGAAATGGACCAGATTATCGTCCTTTAACCTTGCGTTTTTCCAAAAGAAACTGATTTTTTTATTATTTTCTTTTCTCTCTCTCTCTTTCTTTCTTTCTTTCTTTCTTTCTTTCTTTCTTTCTTTCTTTCTTTCTTTCTTTCTTTCTTTCTCTTTTTCTCTCTTTCTCTCTCTCTCTCCCTCTCTCTCTCTTTTTTTTTTGATATAGGATCTTGCTCTGTCACCCAGGCTGGAGTGCAGTGGCATCAATACAACTCACTGTAGCCTCAAACTCCTGGACTCAGCCTCCGGAGTAACTGGGACTATGGGCACACACCACCATGCTGGGCTAATTTTTCTATATTTTTTTTTTTTGTAGAGATGAGTCTTGCTCAGGCTAATCTTGAACTTCTGGCCTCAAGCAATCAATCCTCGCACCTCGGTGGTCCAGCATGCTAGGATTACAGGCATGAGCCACACCGCCCAGCCCCCCCTTGTTTTTTCTTCCCATAAAAATGATATATTACTTATTGAAAATATTCAAACCCTAGGGAAAGTATTAAAAAGAAAGCTGAACTTTACCAGCCTGAGAAAATCGCTGTTAAAATTTAGTGAATATTTTTCCAGATATCTATGTATGTGAGTGTGTTGGTTTACTAGGGCTGCCATAACGAAAGACTGCAGAGTGGTTTAAACAACAGAAACTTGCTTTCTCACCGTTCTGGAGGGTAAAAGTCTGCTCCAAGTGTCAGCAGGGTTGGTTTCTTCTGAGGCCTGTCTCCTTGGCTTGCAGATGTCCGTCTTCTCCCTGTGTCCTCACATGGTCTTCCCTCTGCTGCACGTCTGTGTCCAAGTTTCCTCTTCTCATCAAGACACCAGTCCTATTGGATTAGGTCCCAGCTGAAGACCTCATTTTAGCTTGATTACTTCTTTAAAGACCCCATTTCCAAATACAGTAACATTCTGAGGTTCCAGGTGTCAGAACTTTAACATGAATTTTGGATGGACATAGTGCGTATGTGTGTACTTCCGAATAGATTTACACCAAGGAGATGATAGTACCCTTGTTTTTCTATAACTGCTATTTCACTCGTCACCGTGTCTTTCTAAAACAATAAACATAACCATTTCTCATCACTACTTAGGATTCCATTGTACGTGACTATCATAATTTATTAGCCAACTCTGGTTTGATATAAATTAAATTTTTTCCTAATATTTCACTATTATAAACTACATTGCAATGGACATCTTTTGGACATTTGGTAAATTTCTAGAAATTAAATTCTGGATCAAAGGAAAAGCTTATTTTAAATTTGATACAGATTATTATTCTGTCCTGCAGTGTATAAGCTCAACATCAGAGCATGATACATCCATTTCCTCTTATGCTTGCCAACACTGGGCACTGAGATTCTTTTTAAATCTAGGCCAATCTGATGAACCCATGTACATAATAGTTATTACCTGCCTTGTTTTGATTACCTGTGATATTGAACACATTTTTAGTGTTTGTTGGCCATTTGCTTTTTTTATGAATTAGCTCTTCATGTCTTTTGTCTATTTTTCTGACAGGCTGTTACTACTTTTATTTTTCACTTGTAAAGGCTCTTTTTTTTTTTTTTTTTTGAGACAGAGTCTCGCTTTGTTGCCCAGGCTAGAGTGAGTGCCATGGCATCAGCCTAGCTCATAGCAACCTCAAACTCCTGGGCTCAAGCAATCCTACTGCCTCAGCCTCCCGAGTAGCTGGGACTACAAGCATGCGCCACCATGCCCGGCTAATTTTTTCTATATATATTGGTTGGCCAATTAATTAATTAATTAATATAGTAGAGACAGGGTCTTGCTCTTGCTCAGGCTGGTTTTGAACTCCTGACCCTGAGCAATCCGCCCGCCTCAGCCTCCCAGAGTGCTAGGATTACAGGCGTGAGCCACCGCGCCCGGCCTATTCTTTCTTTCTTAGTACTTTCTTTGGGTTTAATTTGACAATTAAACTTGTCAATTTAATTCTTGAACTAGATGGGTAGTTAATTTTCAACCTTTCCGGTTTTCTAAACTATTCATTTTAAGCTATACGTTTCCTTCTAAGTGTGGCTTCCTCTAAGTATAGATGCATTCTGCGTGTTTTGTTATGTATTGTTTTTGTTATCATTCAGTTAAAACATTTTACAATTCTATTAAGAATGCATTTTTGATCCATGGGTTATTTAGCAATGTATTGCTTAATATCCTAATATTAGGGAATTATCTACTTATCTTTTCTTACTGATTTCTTGCTTAATTCCATTGTGGTCATAGACATAACCCGAATGATGTCAGCATGACATCAGTACTTTGAGTTTTTGTTCTTTGTGGTGTTGTTGTTGTTATTCTGGGTTTTTTTTTTCTTTTTTCTTTTTAAATTATCAGGTTAGTGAAAAAATCTTTGAAGTTTTTAAATTTGTTTTATGTCCCAGTATAATGTTGGTTTTGATAAAAGACCCACATGGACATAAAAATTGTACAGTTAGTTGTCTGCCACATTTAGAAAATTTCAGTTAGGATAAGTTTGTGAATTTTGTGGTTCAAATCTCGCATCTCCGTAATGGGTATTTTGGGGTTTTGTTTGCTTCTGTCTACTTTTTCCATTCATTTGTGAAAGAAGTGTGTTAAAATCTCCCACTCAGATGATGGATTTGTCTGTTTATTCTTTTGCACATGCCAATTGTTGCATTATATTTTTTGGATCTTCGTT